AAAAAAAAGGCAAATACTCAATAATTAGTACACCTACTGAGTTTTTGTGCTAACATAATAGAAAAATATACCACAAAAAACGTTCAGTTATACATCGTGCGATAAAGGAAGATGAGATCTATCGATTGGTGTATTGATCAGCACTGGCACAAAAGTGAGCTCGAATAAAAACAGTAAATACTCAATAATTAGTACACCTATTCAGTTTTTGAGCTTACATGGTAAGAAATACAGTAGCAAAGACATTGAACTACACATCATTCGATAGAGAAAAATGAGATCTATCGAATGATATGCATATCGGCGTTGGCACAACGGTGAATATGAATAAAAAAGGTAAGTTTTCGAGTACACAAGCATACCTGTTGGGTATTTCTCATACAATGGCTAATAAATATCATAGATTGAACTCAACCATATCTTATTTGATAAAATTGAACAAGATCCATCGATTGATATATATATCACCTTCAGTATAAATTGTAGCATGAACCTCTAATGCAAATTATTAATAATAAGCACAACTGTTGAGTTTATGAGAGACGACGATTCAAAGAGGATTACAAATATGAACGAACTATAGTTCATTTGAGAATGAATTTTATTTGAAATAATAGAATTATATGAGATTTGATTAATTTTCAAGGTTTATACTGAATACATTCATGTTTGTGACTTGTAAGTTAAGTAGCTGGCGCTACAATATGCATGAGAGATGTTGAAGAGCTTTTAAGTCCATTTTATGGATTCAGATATATTGAGTTATACATCATTTGATAGAGTTTTTCATTCTGAGTCAAATGAAATCGGTTTCAAATGTGGCACACGTTGTAGAACGAATATGTATAAGAATTTATGCTATAATGATGATTTTCGACGTTTTTCATGCAAGTGTGTTGAAATGGTTAGTTAACAGGTGGAAAGGAGCATATCAATCGATAGAGCAAGTCGAGATGCATAGGAATATATGTTTGTTTGTAAATTTTAATGCGAGAGAGCGAATAATTTTAGGAAATACAGTTTTTATGAAATTGTTCCCATGGAGAAAAAAGACTTTTTGATAAATATGAAACGTTCCACGAGGTTAGTACAAAGTCTAAGGATACCGTTTGATAGAGCTCGTCGAGTTCTATCTGGCACACAACAAATGATAGGTGGCACACCTTGTCAGGTGAATAATATTTAGAAAAACTCGAATCCGCTGCTAACTTCATCTACATCATACATACACGTATTTTATTGTCATCTCCATTAAGTATTTATGTTATTCTCGTTCTTATCGAGTTGCTCGTAACTAAAAGTCAAGAAGCAGTATAGAGAGAGAACGCAAAAAAGAAAAATCTGTATGTGTATCATCATTTGTTTTTTTGCGCCATCATCGTCGACACGTGTTCGGTTCTCTTCGAGTAGATAAACGCTAAACTCGTATTAGAACAACAATAATGTTGTATTATATTTATATTCCGTCGATTTCATATATTATATATCGACTTTACAAGCATTTCTTTCCAGCAAAAAACATCGATTCACGTGGGAAGTACGTGTTGATTAGCGGCTGTGATACTGGTTTTGGACATAGTCTTGCTATCGAACTCGATAATCTAGGTTTTAATGTTCTGGCTGGCGTATATACTGCTGACAATAAGGAGACACTCACTACTAAACTTTCGTCGCGTGCGACTGTCTTTAAACTAGACATCACCAATCAACAAGATATCGACGTTGCTTTTACTCTGGTCAAAAGTAAGACGTCGAGTCTGCATGCACTCGTGAATAATGCTGGTATTGCTAATGGTGGGCTTATCGATTGGATTTCACTTGCAACCATACGTCAAGTTATGGACGTTAATTTCTTTGGGCACGTAGCCATGACTAAAACATTTTTACCACTATTATTAACAGAACCAAACTCACGCGTTGTTAATATGAGCTCGGCAGCAGGTTATCTTGCAGCAGCTGGTGCATCTGCTTATAGTTCCTCGAAATATGCACTTGAAGCATTTTCCGATTGTCTTCGTCGTGAAATGGCTGTCTGGAATTTGCATGTGTCAATTATTGAGCCTGGTTTCATGCGTACACCAATTATCGAAGGTATATCTGAACAAATGCAAAAACTTTGGAACAATCATGTCGTAAATGAAAGTAAAGAACGGTGGGGTGACGACTATTTTTCAGACTGGGTTAGAGAAGGATCAAAAATAGCGAAAGAAACAGCTGACAATCCAATGAAGGTAGTTACTGCAATGTGTCATGCAGTTACAAGCTCAAAACCAAAAATACGCTACAGACCTGGTTGGCAGTCAAGTATGTTCTGCTATCCTCTTTCACTGGCACCAGTCTGGTTTGTCGATCTTTTTATTGGCTTAGGACAACGCAAGATGGCTTTACCAAGTGGTGTAATAAAACGAAAGAGAACTTAATTAAAGATTTGATGAACATCTTGATTTTTTTGTGCAACACTCTACGATATAATTCAGCATATATTAAATACGTGCGTATGAAAAATAAAAATGATAATTATGATTAAAGTTGATTTTTTATCAACTTCTAATCAAGCTAAAATTGTAATAAAAAATAGTACTGAAATCATCTCGAATGCTTGAGTGAAGCTATATGATTATCATATTCATCATACACCCACACACTCAAGAATACTACATATATATCGTTAAAAAAAGCAAAAAGAATGTTTTCGATCTTTTATTTATTAAATTTAATTGTTTGCTATCATATTTTACTGTGTTCTACTGAGATGTTATGAGTGGTAATTGAATATTGAAGTGACGTTCGATAGCATTTTCAACATCATCTGGACCATGGTGATGAATCAATGCAATATTTGGATTTGCATTGTGTATAATTTGCATCAAACGTTCAAACCATTCACTATCATTTCGTACGCCATATCCAACTATAACACCATTCCAATTTTTTGAACTTGCAACACGAGCAATTTCAGCATCGGTCGATGATGTATTGGTAACTGCGAGTGACTTAGCATCAATACCTCGAGCAATAAGTCGCTTATCAATAGAATCAAGGATACTTGGTGTGAGTCCCAATACTAAAATACTCAGAGCATGTTGTTGATTCATTAAAACGATAATATGTGTGTTATTGACAAAATATAGTTTCATCTGTATAAATAAGTATCACATGTGATAATCGTTATTTTTTTCTTTTCCTATTCTTATGAATGATTTCATACAGTGACGACAAAGACACTTCTTCTGTATTTTTCGTCGTCAAACGGACTAAAAAAAAGATATTTTGTACTATTTTTATTCTTATCGTTGTATTCAAAAAGAAAATTCTTTATAACCAATTTCATCCCACACATCACAATCACTCTTTAAATAATTCGTTCCGATTTGAAGTGGATCTTGAATATACATGTATGTCTCATTTCCACTTGTTACTCTAGGCCATGATACTGGTACTTTCAGAGGATCATTGGGATCTTGACTCTTGGCAAAATTTGTCCAATAGGTCGCCATACTTTGAGATATATATCGACCAGTATCAGTAAAATTATTCCAATAAGATTCAAAAAGAAAAGGTAATTCATCAGCATGACACGCATGATCACTACATTGTATCGAATTTTTCTTTAAATTATCCTTGTTGGATGGATAACCATAAACGTAACTATATGATGCAGCCTTTCGAGCAAAGACACGGGTTGAACAAGAAAATACCCAATGTGTAGCAAAACGAACAATTAAAAATCGTTGATCACCCGAACCTTCCGGTGGATATTGTTGAAGAACTTTAGTCGCTTTTTCTCGAAACAGAACAATAATTACTCCAATATATTCACTAGGTGATACTGTCTTATTCCATGTCTCATAAACAAAATTGTAACATTCTTCCGTAACTGTACCAATAATCAATGGTTTTAATGGAAATGATATATTGCGCACTAGATCCAAAATTTGTCCATGAATAATCATATTATCAATCACAGGTACCCATGGTTCAAAAAAATTTAGAATATTCAATGAAGTCAACATATTATTGACGATATTTTGAGCAGCAATAATTTCGTCTGTAGTACGAGATTGAAAACATGATATATCATTAGGAGCACAATGAAGTTGTTCAGCAAGGAGGACACCAGGTGCAACATAATCGAGATATGTTCTAGATTATATAAAAAAAAGAAGTTTTTGTAATATATTCATCTGATCATTATACCTGAATGGAACTGTCATCGGTGCACTTTGAATGATAGCTCGCTTGAAAAATGATTGCATTTCACTTGTCATATAGTGTAATGCAGTCGATTGAGCACCAGCACTTTGACCAAATAGTGTAATCTAAATAAAGAATAGTATAGTTATACTAGATTATATTTTCACGTATTTAAACTTCATCTGGATCTCCTCCAAATGCATTAATATTTGCTTTGATCCATGCAATAGCCAAACGTTGATCGAGTATTCCATAATTACCTTTAATATCATTAGGACCATTTCCAGTTGCAAAAAAACCCAATACACCTGATTAAATTAGATTTTTGTTCGCATACTTGAAAATAGTTGATACTTACCTAATCGATATTGAATTAGTACAATTATTGTATTAGTTGTATTAACGAAATGCTCCGACTCGAAGATCGATTCGGAAGCAGAACCAGATCGAAAGCTACCTCCATGAATAAAAATCATCACTGGTAAAAGATTTGTTGATGATGACGTATTACACAATGGTGTGAATATATTTAAGTAAAGACAATCTTCAGACATCTATTGTATGTATCAACTTTTCATAAGAAATATTTTCATAAATATGAAATACTTACAATAACTGGAGTACGAATAGAAGTTATCGCACTTTCTGCTTGAGCACAAGCAGGAGGTGGTTGTGTAGCATTGATTATCTTAGGATCCCATTTTGTGATAGGTACTGGAGACTGCCATCTGCATAAAAAATAATTATAATATACAAAAATAAATCCTGAGATTTTGTCTAACACTTTACCTCAACGTTCCAACAGGTGGTTGAGCAAACGGAATACCGTAAAAGACACGGGCTAAATTAGTCTGATAACCTAATATATCACCGTACTGTGTATGAACAGTAGCAGGCTCGTTAGCACAAATATTTTGTATAGAAAAAGTCAGAATAAAAATTAATTTTACGAACATTATCATTCTACCGCACGATGTATGTATCGCTCTACTAACACATCTTTTATAAGTAGCTGATAAGAAAGAAACCATTATCATATACAATATATCTTGCTATAGTTTGAAAACACAATAGCGAAGCATATTTTCAAATTTAAAAACTAAAATAACTTCTTCACGAGGTTTTTATTATCGGTTTGAAGAAATAACGATGTACTTTAATATAAATACCATTGTATATACATCGAAAGATATATTTACAATTCGATAGTTACGAGCACCATCTAGACGAACAATAGTATGATTACTTGCAAGCATTGGCCAATCGAATAATCTTTTTTTATTTCAATCTATTTCATTCATTCAAATATATTCTTTAACGACTCAAGTATGCTATCTGACGAAGATCCTCGTGTCGAATGTAAATATTTTATATTGATTATCAATTGTATGTATTTTATTTATACATATATGTATAGATCTTGGCACAAATCCTCCAGTGGATTTACCCATATTATTCTTAATTTTTATTTCTTTCATTACTCACAGTTTAATCTTCTACCTTCTTCCATCATCTTTAACACCATATATTAAAAGTTATATAATATCAACTATTCATGCTTGTGTATGTGTTATTTCTGTGTGTATATTCTATATACGATCATCAATTGATTTAACACAAGTTAATCGTATATTAGGTGGCGGTGTCAAAGGTACAAATGATGAAACTATGACGTATAATATATGTTATACATCAGGTTATTTCTTCTATGATTTACTCGTTTTATTATATTTCAAATCGGTTAGAACTCGATCGGCATTGATTCATCATATTATCATTCTCATAGCTGGTATTTCAGGTTAGTTATACGATAAATACTTATTTCTTTTTATATATCTTTTCTAGGTGTTTATACACATGTTGCTCATGCAAGTCATTTTCTAATGCTTGCCGAAGAATTATCAACTATTCCACTTAATTTCAAAACAATTTATCATGAACGACCGAATATACGTGATTTTTTTGCTCGTCTATTTGTGTTGACATTCTTTTTAAGTCGACTTATCTATGGATCAATCATATGCTCGTATACATTTCGAGCAGTACCAAAATTTATTCAAATGGCATCGAATTTAGGTGATACAACAAGTATTTTGTTTGTTATGGGACAAGTTCTATTGTTCATTCTTACAAGAATACTTCATCTTTATTGGACTGTATTAATTATACGGAAAATGAATGCAGAATTACGACACAATAAGTAGTCACCTGGTTTCTTCCTATATCAATATGTAGATACATGAGTCAGTGAAATTGCACAATCGAATGTAATCACTATCACCGATATTGCACAATTTAATATATCGTCATGTTTTGATATAAAGGAAGATTAAGTATTTTTACTTATTATTCGTTTGGTTTTTGTGTGCAGTACAATATTTTGAAAATGTATACAGTGAAAAATACTCGTGAAAAGTATCTTCAAGAAACTTGTGGAGCAACTGATGTTGAATTGATCTATATTGATTCGATAAGACAGTTGAGACGATCATGTCCTCGATCCAATACAATAGCTAATTCACAACCATCTGAAATACTTGATTCGTGGTTATTTCAAGGTAATTGGGAACATGCAAATGACTCAAAGATTCTTGATTCACTCTCAATTACTCATATTCTTAATGTTACCGACAAAGTATTGCCTGATCAATCACGACAAATACTTCATATTCGAAGTAAAGATGGTCGTTCAGCTGAATTATCAGCAGCTTTTCAAGAAACAAATACATTTCTCGATACATGCCATCAACAAGGTGGTCGAGTATTGGTACATTGTGAACGTGGTGTATCTCGTTCTTCAACAATTATTTTAGCTTTTTTAATGCATCATAAACAATGGACTGTACCACAAGCGTTTGAATATCTATTAACCAAACGACATGAAGCAATACCAAATTATGCTTTGATACTTCAATTAGTACGTTGTGAACATGATTTGACTCAAATTAATAATGAATAATATAAGACATGTGTTCATTGAAATAAATATTTAGTTTTAAGAATAAAATAACTCAAGAGAAATTAAACTTGAAATATGCACTAAAAGAGCAGATTATTTTCTATGTATTAAATGCACATTAGAAGCATTTATTTTCACTATTTTATGTCAATTGTTTACGATTCACAGTAATTTGAGGGTAAGTGGGTGATCAACAAAATATCACGTATGAAATCTTTTACTTGGTATGACAAGTAACTATCAAGTATATTAAATATATTTTATTTTCTGGTTTGAAAAAATGTATTGATGAAAATTTTTGCAAAAAAAAGTAGTTAAAACTGAACATAATAAGCAGAATACATTCGTCAAATTAATTATATAAGTTAGCTTTTACAGACTCAGCCTCGTAGATATCATCCTCTATTGTTTTTCGTGCTTCAGTATATTGATTAGTTGTGTGCATACTGCGTTGTGTTCCAGCTATTTTTGCTCGATGACTTTGAAGTGTCGACGAGAGCTGTGATAATTCTTGATCGACAGCTAGCTGAGATGTTCGATGTTTTTCGTATTGAGTGGTTAAATTATCTGCTATTTCTTTTTTTTATCATAAATGTTTGTTTTATCTTCGAGCTGCTGAGTAAATTGATTGAGTTCACGCTGTATATTACTTAGCTGTGCTTCTGCTTGATCATAAAGATGTTTCGTTTCTTGTTGCAATGCATCTTGTTCTTCTTTCTTTCGTTCTGTATCATGCATTTTGTTTTCGATTGTTTTCATTGCTTGCCTATTGGTAATAAGTTGATTTTCAACAGTATGCAACTGCGCTTCATGAGTGAGTTTTTGTGCCTGTTTTGATGATAATTCAGACTTTTTCCCATTGATTTCAGCTTCTAAAGTATCCTTTTCACGTTGCTTTTCATCAAGCGTTGCACGTTGTCTTTCAATATCACGAGTAAGTCTTTTAATTTCTCCTTCTGCTTGTTGCTTCTCACGTTTTTGTTCAACTTCAAATTTTTGCATTGCTTTTTGAGCTTCCTGTAGTTTTTGATCTTGATCAGCTAACTCTCTTTCAAGTTCTGGAACTGATTTGTTCAACATATCGAGATTAGCTTGAACATTCTGTAAGTGATTTTCCAATCGTGTCACTTCATTCTGTTTTTCTCGCACAATCGTCGCTTGTTTGTTTACTTCACCAATATTTGTATCGCGTTCTTGCGTTTTCGCTGTTTCTTGAGTTTTCTGACGTCCGAGTTCTGTGTGTTGATTGGTCAATTGAGCCTCAGTTTGTTTTAACGTATCTTGAGGCTGTTTTATTTGTTGATCTAGGTTTTGTATACGTTGAACTAAGTCTTTAACTGCTGTATCAAGTTGATTTATTTCGTCTATCAAATTTACATAGATTTTCTCCTGTTTCTCTAAGCGAGATTTCCCATTTCTGACTGCTGTTTTTTTGGCTTTCATCTCTTGTTCTGCTTGCGTGCAATCTTGTTGTAACTTGTCAAGTTTATTTTTAGTCGTTGTTACCACTGTTTTTTGTTGATCGAATGCAACCATCATAGTATTAACTCTTTGCTTTTGAGATTCAAGTTCATCTTTTTTCTCTTGAAGTATCATACGAGCTTGTTCTAAAGTGGTACGACATTTTGCAGTATTTATGCGAGCTGCTGTATGTTCATTTACTTTCAGTTGGTGATAAGTCGTTCGTTGTGTTGCTTCTGCTTGACAGTCAGCAACTCTTGCCTGAGCTGCGGCTACAGTAGTTGTGGTAGCAGCTGCTTGAGCACAATCTAGTTCAGTTTGAGCAACACTTAAATCGGCTCGTGCTGTTTCTAATTGAACTTGTGCATCTAGTTCGGCAGTGCGTGCAGCATGTTCTTTACTTTCAGCTTGTCGCAAGGTTGCTTCATCCTTTCTTACTTGCGGTGCTTGCCGTTGTATAACCTTTTCAGCTTGTCGGTGTTTTTCTTTTTCTCGTTTTAATTCTTCGAGTTTCTCATGTTCACGTTGAAGCTGCTCGGTGCATTTATCACGCTGATCGATGAAAGAACGAAGTGTATCTTGTAAAGTTTTATACTCACCTACTATCTGAGTGACACTTTGTCGAAGTTGATCTTGTTGTTCTTCATTTTTCTGTAATTCATTCTGTTTGACATTAAGTTTTGTATTTGTTTCTAGTCGTTTCTTATCGAGATCAGCACGTTGACTGGTTTGAGTTTGTAATTGTCCTCTATAGGAAACGACAGTCAACATATTGTAAGACAAATACATTAAATAAACGTAGCGTATAATATTTTTCAAAATTATCTTCATGTTTATCTCAATCCTACACTATACTATCTCGTTACACAATACTATTAAAGCAACTTACTGCAACTCATTTCTTTTCCCATTAAGATGTTGAAATTCTTTTTCCACTTTTCGTATGATCTCTTGAAGTGCACTTAGTTCTTGTTGAAGTCGATTAACTATATTTTGTCCTTCATTCATTTTGTTTTGAGCAGCTTGTAACTCTACTTTAGCACGATTAGTTGTCGCTAATGCTTCGCGTTTCTCTGCTTCCAATTTTGCCTGTTCTTGTTTCAGTTCTACAATATGAATTTTCTTCAGATTAATTAAGTGTGCTATACGTCGTTTCAAATCTTCGATCTTCTTTTGTTCAGCTTCGTTTGCATCTCGTTTCATTTCATTGATACGAATACGTTCTTCGAGTTGTTCAATTGTCGCAATTTGATTTTGTAAATCTTTGATTTCATCTTCGAGACGATCGATTTCTACTTCTAATTGTCGTATTTCTTCATTCAGCAGTTCAATACGATTTTGTAGCTCCTGTAGTTGCTGTTCGAGTTGAGTAATCTGTGCTTCTATTCGTTGTATTTCTTGTTCAAGTTTTTGACGACGTTGCTCCAATTGAATACGTTGTTCTTCAAGATCATATTTTTGCTCTTGAAGTTTTGTGAGTTGTTTTTGCAGTTTATGTCGATTTTCTAGTTCTTGATATAGTTTGTCTTGAAGACGATCATGTTGCAATTGCTGTTGACGTTGTTGCTGTTCTAAACTTACATATACATCACGCAACTCTTCAAGTTCTCGTTCGAGTCTTTCCAACTCGGCATTGAGTTGTCTGATTTGTTCATCGAGACGACGAATTTCTGATTCATGATTTTTAGAATCTTGTTTGAGTTCCTCTATTCGTATTTTGACCGCTTGTAATTCATCTCTAGCAAGTTGTCGTTCTTTCTCTAAACGTTGCAATTCATCCTCCATTGTTGGCATTTCCATACTCGCTTCTCCATGATTATTGCAATTTGAGGCCATGTGTTAGAAAAAGATGACAAAAAATCAATCTAAAATAATTCAAAAACAAGTAACGACATATGTATATCTTGAGGGTGAGCTTGGGTGCGGATGCGTGATAGTCTACAAAACTTCGTAAACCAACTTTTTATCTGACGAACCGTTTAACATAGAATCGCTCAAGTATAGCTTTATTTTTCGAGGTTTTGTATAAACTAATTCTTCTCAATAACACATCAACTTCAGAACCTGAAACTCCTCGAACACGAGCTACGACTCATTTTTGTCCTAAACTCTAATCTTTGACTTAGGTAGAGTAAATACGACCTGTTTGTGAAATAAAGTCTGTGTTAAAGATTCAGTTCTACAAACAACTCAAAAGAAAACCCTGTATTCAATAAATGGCAAGAGTTATGAACGTTAAATAATACTCAAATTTTTGTGGCAGTAAAGGTAAAATGAAATTCAGTGCTTCTATACATATGCGGCAAATGTACACGTTTTGTGCCGATTTTGAAGAGCACACACAACACATAGAGTGGGGAAAAACACAATTGCACGGCAGAACGAAAAGAATAATAATTTCGAATTACTTTTGCTCTTATTTGTATTTGCGATGTATGTGAGATGCAAGCGAAAAAGTACGTATTCCTCGAATCTTGAATCACCTACAATTCTTTAGCGTTGCAGTGATTATTCCTTAAAATTCTAGACACTCCTTGGAGCTTCAGAGATGTGTGGATAAGAGAGTTGTGGGTGCGTATTCTTGAATTAGAGATGTATATAACACCCACACTCTCAAGATTGTTATTTAAATCAAACGCAGTTTTGTTACTTGACGATCAGTATATTGTTTAATGAATATATCGATATGTTAAATATCCTACTATTATCATTATCAATACGAGAATTTTACAAAGAACATAACAGTAGCAAAGGGTGGGTGCAGGATCAACATAATATACACACCCTAGTGATAATATCACATATGAAATATTTTGCTCGATATGACAAGTATCTGTCAAGAATATTAAATATATTTTATTTTCTAGTTTAAAAAAATGTATAGATGCAGACTTTTACAAAAAAAAGTAGATAAAACAGAATATATTTGTCACATCAATTATATAAGTTAGCTTTTATCGTAGGAGTGATGCATTAGCATTAGAGTTAAGAAAATGCTAATACTTTGTATTAAAAGTAGTAGAATACAAAAGTATTAGAATTAAGTCTTAAATAAAGTAATGCTAATGCTAAGCCACCACTCCTATTATACATAGCTATATACGGGGATCTCATTTTCATCATCGCTGTAATATTCATCCTGTTTGACAGTGTTCACAGGTTTTACTTTCTGTGTTGGTTGTCGTGCTTCAATAGATTGATTAGCTGTGTAGATGTTGCGTGTTGTTCGAGCTATTTTTGCTCGACGACCTTGAAGTGTAGATGAGAGCTCCGACAATTCTCGATCAACAGCTAGCTGTGATGCTCGGCGGTTTTCGCATTGAGCGGTTAAACTATCGGCTGTTCTTTTTTTTTTATCGTAAATATTTGTTTTATCATTGAGCTGTCGAGTAAATCGATCGAGTTCAAGTTGTGTACTACTGAGCTGTGCTTCTGCTTGATCACAAAGACGTTTCGTTTCTTGTTGTAATGTATTTTGTTGTTGTATCTTTCGTTCTGTATCATGCATTTTGTTTTCGATTGTTTTCATTGCTTGCCTATTGGCAACAAGTTGATCTTCAACAGTATGCAGCTGCGCTTCACGAGCGAGTTTTTGTGCCTGTTTTGATGATAATTCAGACTTTTTCCCATTGATTTCAGCTTTCAAAGTACCCTTTTCACGTTGTTTTTCATTTAGCGTTGCACGTTGTCTTTCAATATCACGAGTAAGTCTTTTAATTTCTCCTTCTGCTTGTTGCTTCTCACGTTTTTCTTCTGCTAGACTTGATTCAAGTTTCGAATGTTCAGCTTCAAGTTTTTGCATTGCTTTCTGAGCTTCTTGTAGTTTTTGATCTTGCTCGGCTAACTCCTTTTCAAGTTCTGGAACTGATTTGTTCAACATATCGAGATTAGCTTGAACATTCTGTAAGTGATTTTCCAATCGTGTCACTTCATTCTGTTTTTCTCGTACAATCGTTGCTTGTTTATTTACTTCGGCAATATTTGTATCACGTTCTTGTGTTTTCGTTGTTTCTTGAGTTTTCTGACGTCCGAGTTCTGTTTGTTGTTTGGTCAATTGAGCCTCAGTTTGTTTTAACGTATCTTGAGATTGTTTTATTTGTTGATCTAGGTTTTGTATACGTTGAACTAAGTCTTTAACTGCTGTATCAAGTTGATTTATTTCGACTTTCAAATTTTCACAAATTTTCTTCTGTTTTTCTAATTGAGATTTCTCATTTCTGACTGCTGTTTCCTTATCTTTCACCTGTTGCTGTGCTTGCGTACAATCTTGTTTCAACTTGTCAAGTTTATTTTTAGTCGTTGTGACCACTGTTTTTTGTTGATCGAGTTCAACCTTCTTACCATTAACTCGTTGTTTTTGAGATTCAAGTTCACCTTTTTTCTGTTGAAGTGTCGTACGAGCTTGTTGTAAAGTAGTACGACATTTTGCAGTATTTGTGCGAGCTGCTGTATGTTCATTTACTTTCAGTTGGTGATAAGTCGTTCGTTGTGTTACTTGTGCTTGATAAGTAACAACTTTTGCCTGAGCTGCTGCAACTCTTGCTTGAGCTGCTGCTGCAGCAGCTGGAGTAGCTGCTGCGGCAACAGCAGCTGCTTGAGCACTGGCTAATTCAGCTTGAGCAACACTTAAGTTGGCTCGTGCTGTTGTTAATTGAACTTGTGCATCTTGTTCGGCAGTGCGTGCAGCAGATTCTTTGCTTTCAGCTTGTCGCAAGGTTGCTTCATCATTTCTTACTTGTTGTTCTTGCTGTTGTACAGCTGTTTCGGCTTGTCGTTGTTTATCTTCTTCTTGTTTTAATTCTTTTTCGAGCTTTTCTTGTTTCTCTCGTTCACGTTGAAGCTGCCCGGTGCATTCATCATGTTGATTATTTAAAGAGCAAAGTGTGTCTTGTAAAGTTTTAAGCTCATTTTCTAATCGAGTGACACTTTGCTGAAGTTGATTTCGTTGTTGTTCATTTTTCTGTAATTCATTCTGTTTGACATTAAGTTTTGTATTTGTTTCTAGTCGTTTCTTATCGAGATCAGCACGTTGACTGGTTTGAGTTTGTAATTGTCCTCTGAAATAAACGATAACCATCATATTATACGATAAGTTTATTCAATAAACGTAGTCTGTAATATTTTTCAAGATCCTCTGCATGTTTATCTCAACCTCACACTGTACCATCTCGTTGTATAATACTATCAAAGCAACTTACTGTAATTTATTTTTTTCGCCGTTAAGCTGTTGAATTTCGTTTTCCACTTTTCTTATGCTCTCTTGAAGTGCACTTAGTTCCTGTCGAAGTCGATTAACTATATTTTGTGCTTCTTTCATTTTGTTTTGAGCAGCTTGTAACTCTACTTTAGCGCGATTAGTTGTCGCTAATGCTTCACGCTTCTCTGCTTCTAATTTTACTTGTTCTTGTTTTAACTCTGCAATATGATTTTTTTTCAAATTAATTAAATGTGCTATGCGTCGTTTTAAATCTTCGATCTTCTTTTGTTCAGCTTCGTTTGCATCTCGTTTCATTTCATTGATACGAATACGTTCTTCCAGTTTTTCTATTTGTTGTTCAATTGTCGCAATTCGATTTTGTAAATCTTTGATTTCATCTTCGAGACGATCGATTTCTGCTTCTAATCGCCGTATTTCTTCATTCAGCAGTTTGATACGATTTTGTAGCTCCTGTAGTTGCTGTTCAAGTTGAGTGATTTGTGCTTCTATTCGTTGTATTTCTTGTTCAAGTTTTTGACGACGTTGCTCCAATTGAATACGTTGTTCTTCAAGATCACATTTTTGTTCTTCAAGTTTTTTGAGTTGCTCTTGCAGTTTACGCAGATTTTCTGTTTCTTGATATAGTTTGTCTTGAAGACGATCATGTTGCAACTGGTGTTGGCGTCGTTGCTGTTCTAAACGTATGTGTTCATCACGCAACTCTTCAAGTTCTTTCTCGAGTCTTTCTAACTCGGCATTGAGTTGTTTAATTTGTTCATCGAGACGACGAATCTCTGCTTCATGATTTTTAGAATCTTGCTTGAGTCCTTCTATTCGTTTTTCGACCGCTTGTAATTCATCTTTAGCAACTTGTTTTTCGTTCTCTAAACGTTGCAAGTCATCCTTCGTTTTTTTCAGTTCCATGCTTGCTTTTTCATCATTATTGTAGTTTGAAGCCATGTGTTAGAAAAAGATGACAAAAAATCAATCTAAAATAATTCAAAAACAAATAGCGATATATGTATACGTTATATTTTTCAATCGAATCAAAAAAATAACAATCAATGACTAATATAAAACGCAGTTTCTAACGAACACGACCTACTATTCACAGAAAAATGTAAATCTTGAATTGCTTGTTAACTAAGAATGGGAGTGGGTGTGGGTGAGGGCGAGGGTGTTCTAGTAAGGTAAATAATATACCCACATGCACATTTGCCCACGTCCACAAGATGCGTGGGAATGTGATAACCTACCAAAGATCGCAAATCAACTTTTATCTGACGAACCGTTTAATATAGAATCGCTCAAGCATAGCTTTACTTTTTGCGATTTCATGTGAACTATTTCTCCTTGATAACACATCAACATCTAAACCCGTACCTCAGCGAACTCCATTTGAAGACAAGCTACGACTCGTTCTTGTCATAAGCTCTGATCTTTGACTTGCTTAGAGTAAATACGACTTGTTTGTGAAATACAGCCTGTGTTACAGATTCAGTTCTACAAACAACTGAATAGAAAACCCTGTATTCAATAAATGGCAACAATCATGAACGTTAAATAATACTCAGATTTTTGTGGCAATAAAGGTAAAATGAAATTCAGTGCTTCTATATATATGCGGCAAATGTACACTTTTTATACCAGAGTTGTGCTGAGTTTGAAGAGCACACACAACACATAGAGTGGGGAAAAAACCAAACTGCACGGCAGAAGGGAAAGAAAAACAATTTCGAATTACTTTTGCTCTTATTTGTGTTTGCGATGTATGTGAGATGCAAGGGAAAAAGGAATTTTGCCTGAGAAAAAACCAAGTAAAAATTTTTCGCTTCTATATAAACCAATATAATTACTTGTTTTAGATCAAATCTACTTGCTTTATACTTGGTCTATTTTTCTCTCTTTATAATGGCTTCCTCTGTATGGACCATCAGTTGTCATGATTATTTCAAGTCAGGTATATCTATGAACGATGAGAATGTAGCAACTTTTCGTGATTGCTATCAAAAGCTATCAAAAGTCAACAAATTTGATGATCATGAAATAGACGAAACAGCATTATATAATACAGCCAAAGAACTTGGAATAAAAATCGATTCGGATAATGATCGAGTGTTATTAAAAGACTGTGTACGTTACGACGATATCGAACAATCATTAGAATGTATGGACATATTAATTCAAGGTCCAGTACAACCATTGTCATCCAGTCTTCCTGTGGTGCAACCACCGTTGTCTTCAGATAATGTATCTATACCTTTATCTGAACCATTTCAAGAAGAAAACCCACCAACAAATTTGATGGAAATCAAGTGTATCATGACTGTCAAATGTCGAGGAAAATATGTGGATGATTTTATACAAAAATTTCTTTTACAAGTTGTCAATGAAACTAGCACTAACGAGTAAGAAATGAATTTCTCATCAATATTATTGATGATTATAAGTTACTTTTTTCATGCTTTATATTATTCACAAATTTATAGATAAAGGATTAATTAGAATTACAGTTTTCGATGAATATTTCCATTTTTTTTATATTGAATTCAATCTTCACATAAAGTAATTCTATTTTAGGCCTACTATTAATGATAGATCGGCATCATACTACACGAATCAATTTCTTCTTCATTCGAGATCACTTCTTGCTCTATTTATTCACGAACAAGTGCGTTCATTAGGCATCATTCGACGACGACAATTAAAACGTCTTCGTCCTGTTGAACCTCTTAGTATTATTGATGAATTTGGCGCATGGTCATATGATCACCTTCGAGATCTATTCGAAATTGAACTTCGTACTCACCGTGATGAATTCTTTCCATCTCCCTGGATCTTAGCCGAAGATGCTCGTATTCATTGTCAGTTCATTTTTAGTGGTACTCAACAAGCCAATGAAACATCAACATCGTTGATACTCGAACGCCCACGTACAAGTTCTCTTGAACAGTTTGTTAGAGATGTGTGTAGTAAAGAAGACAATATGCAAACTGATAAATGGCTTGCAGCATTACACGCTGAAGATATTCTTTCATTTACTCATCTTTCTAACTTGAAACAAAGTGAATGGGATAATATAAAAAGATTATCGATGAATGCAAAAAGAATATTAAAGGCAGCGGTCGATCGAGAACGAGAAAGTGCTGCAGATGATCGACGACGTTTATTTGAGGAAAGTTCACCAGATCAAGAACTTCAAAAATCATTAGGTACTTGAACCACTAAACATTATTCTTAAGGAGTCTATATTATATGTTTTTTTCTAGATAAATCAGTAGATGAATGTCGCTCGGAACTCTTTGCCAGTCTACATTTGATCAAACTCTTTATCTATTACACGCTTCGTTTCGAACGAGCACTTCAAAATAATAGTTCTTTACCTAAACTGGAAGCAGCCTGCATCGATGCATCATTTTCTGAAATGCGAAAAGAAGGCTATGCAGATGATGGACTTTTTTCTACGATGGGTGAATTTTTTCTACCTCTGACAATATCCGAACAGGAACTTCGAATGAAACGATCTCATACTCATAAAAAAGTGAAAGTAGGAAAACTAGAAGAACTTGGTAGAGAACTTCATCGCTTGGAACACTTATGGACTAATGCCACAAGTTCTCGATGGGAAGTTGATGACAACATCAATGAGTTACATCATACAATGAACGAAATGTACACAGGACACATAGCCGAACGAGCGCGATTGAGTACATCATCAACATCGCGTGAACAAGCAAAAGAGTTACAGCAACTTGATCGGCAATGGCAAGACGCTTCTAGTCAATTCGAACAACAAATGCTTGTATACAAGCAAGCAGTAGATAAATGGATTAATGATATTGCAGGCTATGAAAAGCAGATAGAGGAATTGAAAGCTCAAATACGTAATATTCAAACCGAACTGAAACAACCCGAGTTTCCAGTAGACAAAGGACTCGTAAAACCTGCACGTGGGTTTATTATGTATGGACCTCCTGGTATGAAAGATGTTTTGCTGAATTTTTTCTGTTATAAGAAATTAATTTCATTCAGGTACAGGTAAATCAGAAATCATGAGTAAACTGAGTGTGAAATTAGGTATTTGTATGGTTGGTCCTCCTTTGGCTGCAGGAGAATTGAATCGTCCTTTAGTTGGAGAATCGGAACGAGTTATTATTGCACTTGCATCTCGATGTCATCGTGTTCCTTATGCCATGTGTTGTTTGTCAATTGATGAAATCGATTCTCTTGCACCGAAACGTGATGAAGATTCAAGTGAAGGGAAGGTTGATAAGATCAGCGTTCTTCTATCATTAATTGATGGTATTAAAGATGTGCCTAATCTAATGATCTTCTGTGCTACTAATCGCTTACATATGATGGACGAAGCTTTTCTGCGTCGTATGTCTGGAAAATTCTTTGTTGGTCGACCATCATCACAAGCACGCATGAGAATTTTAGCTCAAATACCAGAATGGGCTCTTGAATCAGACCTTATCGATCGATTAGCGATTGCTTCAACTAACTTCAGTGGTGCAGCCTGCAAGTAAGTTCAGTACATATGAAGAAAAGAAACTAGAACATGTGAATGGCGTTCTTATATGTTGCTAATATTATTTTTCTATCCAAAATTGTATGACTAGTCTTTCTATTGCATATTTTGAGTTTATTATCAATGTTCATACATGAAAATGAAATTCACGGGATCTCTTGCATTGGTCAGGACTTTAGTTCATTTTTCTTTTTCTAGAGCATTCACTCGGGCTATTACCGTTCGTTGCATGGCTGTTCAAAGAACCAACCCAAATTTTCATGTTAACTATCATGAAGCACTACAGATAGCTGATCGTACTGCTCAACAATATCAGGTCTTTCTCGGTAGTGAAACTTTACCTCGCCTACTTCTACGCAATCTTAAGAAGAGATCAGAAATTCGTATCAATCATCTCACACGACATATGTATGCAGGCCGAATCATTGTTGATCTACATGGTGGTCGTGCACGAATTGAAACTATTTTACTAGATGGACGTATCACTGTGATCGAACATAAACTTAATCCAACTGAGACAAGCGTACAAAGTCTTCTTGAACGATTAACAGTGTACGGCAAAGATCGAAATGTACAACTTCTTCAATTGATTGATCTCAATTTACTTGCATCACAAGGAGCATATGATGAAAAAAAAGTATTTGAAACATTGAAAGAACGTTATGATGAATGTGTAGCTTATTCTCGTTCGATGATTATTTATGATCTTGATGCATTAGTTGGTGTTAATAAATCAGAATCTGATTCATCTATGGGTCGATCAATGAGTTCATCTGTCGTCAATCAAAATGTCTATACATATGTTAGAGCACGATTTCGTGAAGCTGTTGTTGAACAAGCGGAAAATGAAAATAATGAACAACAACAGACTGTAGAAAAATGGGCAGTCGCTGTTATTCGAGAACCTTTTCTCTTAAGACAATTTTCATCTGATGTTCAATTTGCACGAACACGAGATGAAGAAGAAGAAGCGGAATTGGAACGACGTAAAGCAGAAGATTTACTCAAATGTGTTAAATGCAAGGATTTATATATAGAGAATGAAAATAAAATGGGTATGAAAAAAAAGCTTTTTTGTCTTTATCATATTTATCATTGTATTTATTCTAGGCAATTGTGTTCATCATGATGGTTTTATATTTGATAATTCAGCAGCTGATCTGGCTATTTATACGCAAAGTGAAGTAGCGTATGTACTAAGCCAACTTGAATGTGATACTATTAACCATCCAGATAAACGTGAACAAAATGAAATACAAAAAAATAAATACAAATGGATATGTTGTGATACAACAGTAACAACTGGTTCTGGTTCAGGTGGATGTAAAAAAGGCAAACATAATTGTGGTGAACAAATAGGAGAAGAACGACGACGTGATAGAAGTCATCTTGATCAAGCTAGAATTAAACGATGGGAAGAAGAATGTCGACGTAATCAAGAGTACAATGAGAAATGGTTACTCTTATTAGAAAATCGAAGTTAAATTTAAAAAA